ATGCAACCGTGACTAACATCTGAGGTGGGGACCTCAACGGTGGTTTGATACACGCGACTATCATAACAATATATAAGCAGCAATATTTTAAATACCAAAGGAGAGAAGGTTAATTTGCTACAAACGCAGTCTAAAGTGCGCTAACATCGTTAAGGGTAATAACCAAGTTGACGCGTGAATACAACATTCGATATCAACACTGAACGATAAGCACTCCTGCATTCTTGGGGTCCAGAGAATATGTAAGCTTGCGTCTTAAATTGACCGAAGTAAGTATGCAGGACCGATGTAGCACTCCGGGACCTGCACGTACTTTTGACAGAGTTGCTCCAAGGCTGGCCGAATTTTTGCCTTACCATCCTTCGCATGCAAGCCCTTGCCTGCGCCAGAGGATTAGGAATTCTCGACTCGGAGAAAGAGGCGTAGAGCGCATCAAAGAGCCCGCTAGACGACGTACCGACAATGAAGTAGACTACTCTGTTTGACCTTCGAGTGGCCGCCTTGAGTTCATGCGTTGCGTACCCGACAGCTTCTTCGACGTACAAGCCGTGGAGGTCGACCGTCCCTTCGGGGTGGCCCTGGCACGACAAAGAGGGGTTGGATGAACGCGCATGACTCGAATCGCCGCCTCGACACGAATGGCTGCGTACCTTGTTCTTCTCCTGGAAGATGAGCTCGGCCGCCGCCTTGTTCAGATTTTTCACCTCGATCTCGTGCACGACCGCCTCTCGGTTGTGGCCATCCTCGGCCGCATGGTCCTTCCTCTTGCGCGCGGCCTTGGCAAGTTCACGCGATTCATACATCATGCGCGATCTCTGCATCGCCTGCGCTCGTAGGTCCTCGGCGGTGGTGAATTCCTTGATGCTCAGGTTCGCGCCCATTGGGATGGACTGTGTGTGATAAGTGAGCGCCTCGCGGAACGAATATGTGAAGGACACGAACGTCGATATCTTCAAAGCGCAGGTGTCCCTGACGCCACCGCCCGGCGGATGGTGGTACGAGATGGGCCGAGCGAGAGACCTTGCGGTCGCGGGTAGTGAGGGGCGCGGGGCCCCCGACCCTAGTCCTTGTGCGAGCCTGGGATTCTCTTGAGGAACGACGGCCACGACGGCGGTTATCATCGTTGCTCAAGCAGCCAATGACACAAGCAAAGGCGATAAGGACGATCGTTGCGACGAGACTGGTGGTAAGTATGAACGGCATGTTAACATGAGGAGGAAGGCTGGCCGGTCACAGAATGATGTAGCCCTTGCCAGTACATAAGCGCCGAGCATTGTATCACGAGGGATAAGATCCTTCTCTCCAGAAGGCCACGTGGTCAATCAGTTGATAATAGAATGCGGTCCACGACGCACGGACGAGGCCCCATACACAGTATGCGGGAATAGCCACTCCAGATGGCGGCGTCAGTTAGCATCACCGTTGTAGTGCGTGCAAGCGTTGTCCTCGGTCCGGGTCCGGTCACCGGCGGCGTAGACGGCCCGAAGCACTCGTGACCTTGCTGGAGAGAGACGGGAGGGAGACTCCTTGAACCGCGACCACCACCAGGCCTGGATTTCCCACAGCAAAGCCAGGGCATGGATAGGCAATGAAGATGACAGTGAGCTTTGCAATGTCAGAGCCACCTGTCCGAGCCTTCGTTCAGAGCAATGGCCCCCCCTACACCAAGTAAACCGTAAAACCGCCCCACCAGGTGAACAATGGACACCAGAGGCCACTCCCAAAACCCACCACCGACCACCTGCTGACATGCCACCTTGGGTTGCACCTCCCTCCTAGGCCAAGCACCATCGCACAATGAAATCAAACTAAGGCTGAGAATGTAGTTGATCATAACCTTGCGAGCCTGACGAAAAGTCCTAACCCCCATAAGTTAAACGATCCCCTCCTAAGCTGAACTTGACGAGGAAACCCAACTCCAACCCTCCCCCCATGTAGACTAACTCCCCACCCAGTGTAAAACCTAGTCATGTAATTGAAAACACCCCTGCCCCCCACCTTGAAACTGAGTTACCCAGCCACGCAAGCCCCCCACTACTACCCATAAAAAACAAAACAGACCCCCCCCTCCACCGGAGATCGAAACCCCCGCACCTCCCACAACAACCGATGCCACCGCCGCCACGAGCCTTTCATGTCTCAAAGAGCTTGGCCACACGAACCAGACCACTGGCCAGACATCAACCCAGGAACTATCTTAGGCTGCAGATGTTTGTCCCCCCCAATCTCCGATAATGCCCCCAACCAAACTGCAGACCGGACCAGTGGACGACCCCCTAAAGGCGCCATGTAGCTCCAAATCCTAATCTCTGAAGTGGACCATCTTGTATGGGTCATAAGGTGCAAATGAGTGATACAGGAATGCTCTCACACAGAGCAAGAAGTCTGCACCCGGTGACTCTGTGCCATCAACATGAGACTCACCAATGACAGGATCACCGCAACCCTTATAAAATGAGAGAAGAGCCCTCAACACTGTTAGGGACACCTGGGAACACATCCTACGAAAACCTATGGATCTCCCGAACAACTGGATATTTAATTGTGAGGTTTTGTTGGGTAGATGTTAGCAAGTCTGCCCCCCCTGACCCACGTCAAATGTCGGGGGCAGGATGGTTACCCGAACCACCTGGAGACCCCCTCCTAGTTGAGGAATGATCCTAAATCCATCCTCCAAGCAACGTTTGCATTCACAACGCCCAACATCAAACCCTAGAAACTTGCCCCAACTATCCTTCGATGCCCACTTGGAGACACTCAGCACCCTCCCATGGAATACGCAACACACAGTTGGAACCCACCCGCTTAGAACCCAACATACCCTGAGTCCCACGCTGTCCCCACACGGGGACGATGCTTAAGTAAATTTATCCTCACCCCGGTCCGTGCACCGGCTACAGTGTATCAGATAGGGCTGATATGTTTTCTCCCGCCATCTAATGATTATCCCTCGTAGTCTAAGTTCATAGATAACTCCGAACAAAGTGTATTCCAAAAAAAAAAAAAAAATTGAGAGACGGGGGACATGATGTGTATCTTTGGTAGAAAACGCGTTTTGAGCGCAAGGTCTTTTGACTGATAAAACGGAATCCGTTCTCGTCAAGACCTGATAGTGTACAAACGTATTTAGTTTCCGGACGGACATACGTCTCAATCATGACTCGCCTCGCAAACGCGCAGCCCTTTAGGGGACAAATACAACTGTTCTGCCGCTGCCGTCTCGTCGCCTCCCATTCCCATCTTCGCCGTTCTCTCGTGCTCCCGCCCTCATTCCCCAGTCTTATCACTGGTTTTCCATTTCGTCTCCGTGTTTCTGTGTAGTACATAGTCCCTCTTCGCATCTCTCCCTACGGGGGATTAAATGTCTACGTGCTCGTATAATCTTGGGCAGGACTCCAGGAAACTCGAAAAACGTAGCCGTCCGCACTCTACCCACCAAGGGCGTCCAACCGTTTAGTAAGAGCATCTATTCGCTCTTCTAAACCGGTCACGTTCCCCCTCACCACCCGCCCATTCTCGGCGAGGCTCCCCTCGACGCCTTCGATGGCTTGGGTCAACGCGTCGAGCGCGTCGCGCGACTGTCGCTGCTCCTCCTCCAAAGTGGACAGCGCGTTGCCGAACTGCGCCGCGGAGGCGTGCAAGGTGGCGAGCGTGCGCAGGCGCCCAAGGATGTGGGGGATTTGTGGAAGAGCGGGGATGAGACGCGCGAGTGCCGGCGCGAGCTGCTCTTGCAGTGACGCGGGCAGGGCAGAGGGTGCGGCGGCGGAGCTATCGCCCTCGGTGGCGCTGGCGGTGACGGCGCTGCGACGTTTTTGTTGGTTTGCAGTCGCCAGTCGATCGAGGTCAGACAGGAGCAGCTTGAGACGGCGGGAAATGTTGTCCAAGTGTCGAGGTTGTGAGAGCACGGTGAGTTGCGTGTTTAATCGGGTGAGAAGAGGTAAAAGTGGGGTCGGCATCGCTGAGTCCTATATCAGTGTCACCACTTGAGTACTCTTTCTTCAAGGCTCCCCAGCAGAGAACATGCCGTACCTCGTCCAGAGACATGCTCGCTGAGCCGACGAGTTTTTCTAACTCCCCGACGCGTCGATCTATCTCGGAGACATCCTTTGCAGTCTCCAACGACTTGTGGTGGGTATCCTTTGCCGTCTTACCAACACCACCCCCACCCTTTTCGGGGACCTTCTCCGCAATATGGCCTACCGGTGGTGGGTCCTGCAGGATGCCTTGGACTAGCCGCACTCGGCCTTCGTGGCCCACGGAGTATTTCGCTAGTCGTGACTTGATGTCAACGATGCCTTTGAGAAGGTCGCCCGGGTCAACCTGACCCTGATCACGATCACGCCTGAGGAGCGGATTTGCAGGGTCGGCGAGTTCCGTTTCCAGAGAGGCGAGCTCGGATTGTAGTAACTTTAAGCGGAGCGCAAGGGAGGGCGGGTGTGTCGGGGTGGGTGATGGCGTGCGCGAAGGCGGATACGCATAAAAGGATCGCTCGCGTATCCCTGCGACGTTTCGTGAGTCGAAAGAGAAACGGGATCGAAGGAAGAAGCTACAGACGCTTTCGTTCAGCGCGCCGAAATCGCTTGCTGGCCTCTGCCGCGTCAACAAGGCAGCTTTCGTCGATTCCTTCCGCTGCACTAGGTTCCACTACCTTTCGCGGACGTGTCGAAGGTCCTTCATCGTCACTCGAATCGTTATTCTGCATACATTCAGTCCAGATAGCTTCCGAGGTCCATGGGATTATACCTCATCCTGAAGGGATTGGAAAGCATCTTCAGTCTCATAGACGTCTTTTCCAGACGAATCCTGCGATGTCGAAAGGGACATTTACTGATGGCCAATAGCAGGGTGACAAGAGACATACGATATCCGGTAAATTTGAGTATTTAATCGCACTCATCAGTGATTCCTGTGGGAGAGAGAATCAACGTGGAATCCAAAGCCAGACCAGACGAGGTCGGACGCGACAAAAAACGGTAGACAAAAAAAGCAGAAAAAAAAAACGTCACCTGAGCGATTCGAACACTCGCGGGCAAAGCCCAACCGCTTATTCTGCATATAGCAGGCGATCCCGTTAACCACTCCGGCAAAGTGACTTCAATCCAGAATTTGCTACAGATTATATGATACGTAATTCCCCTGAGTGATGAGTATTCCCTAACCCTCTATACACCGACACAAGTAGGTACTAACGCCGGCGTTTGTGTATATCTGGAGCCAGTAGGTAGAAACACTCAAGTACATGTCATCGATGATTGGGATCACCTATGCGGAGGATGGCCGACTCGTACTTGGGTTAGCACTTCACTCTAGTGAAAACGATGTATAAATGGTACTACCAGTATGCAGTCAAATGGAGAGGGAATGGTCATCCTCGTCTGACATCGACGTTCTTTTCTCGAACAAAAATGACACCGTTCCACCAGAGACGTCCTTGACCGTCAGGTCTGGAGTTGTTGTTACCATGCGTGAGATGTTATCCAGGTCGACGGCGTCAAGTAGGGATGATATGCGGCTCTTTGGCGAGTTCAAGCGTACTGTATTTGTGTTTGATTGGTGATCGCGTGAGGGCGATGGTTGGAAAAATAAGCCCCTGAGGATGTCATCATGCACACGCTCGCTTGCGTCTGACCGTAGGCAATTGATATGGGTCCATTCACCCAGTGCGGCGAGCTCCGTTTTTTTCTTTTTCAAGTACTGGTAAATGCGCACAGTGCGTCATAATCCTTTCTAGACACGAACGAAGGCACTCACTGCTTTATCCGCCTTCTCAGAGACAACAACTTTGACCTGCGACGCAACAACGAAGCCCTGTGCGTCGTCCGCCCTACAGTCGTCTTCTAGAGCAGCGTCAGATATTGATTCAACATCGTCATCTCCCGACGTTCCAGTACGATCACACTGGCAGTCTAAGAGGTCATGACTGTGACAGGCAGTTCCGGGGTGTATAGTGAAGATATCGCGCAGCTACACCTTGTCAACTTAGTCTGACAGTTTCAACGCTACTCTTCTTACCTCTTTCGGTGTGAATGTGTCAGATTTAGATTCGGACTTGCCCTGCCATTGGGAAAGACTTAGATAGATCTATAAGAGAAAACAATGTTCCCAGGTCCTCACATTTCCGATCAATGCTGGGGCCGAGGATAAGTCAACTTCACCTCGCATAAATAGGCGAAAGGACGTACTGTTACTCAGCCCAAGCTTTGTGACTTGACGCTGATAGATCTTCTCTAAGTTCCGCACCTCAATATCAAAAGTCTTCTCGAGACGACCAAACTCACCGTCGATGGTTCCTGCGGTCAGGAAGCGATATATATAGACACTCCGCTTTTGTCCGTCACTACGATGGGGTTCAGCTTTGGGCATAATAATGGGAAATTTCAACTGACCGATGTATACGTGCCATTGATTGAAGGTCATGGCTGGAACGTGAATGTGAGTGGAGGGAATTTCACTGGCACGCAGAATGTCACCTTGGGTTCCAATCGGAATCAACGAGACAAAGTCTTGAAGCCCCGATGAGATTGAGTCCGACGCCGCCTGCTTTGGAACTGAGGAGGAAGAGAACTAATGACAAATTTGGGGGCTTATGGTAGCAAAGGGTGTTATGTTAGCCGACGTACAACAACGATCTTGAGAAGATTTGTTGAACACGTTTACATGCTCCGATCTTTTGGCTGCTGGAGTAGAACTACACGGAACAAGTGATTAGTTCCCCGGACGGATGACAGTGGGTGATCATAGGAAAATTACCCGTCCAGACGAAGGTAGCTATATGATTTCTTCTTACAAAAAGCTTCAATGATGTTGAGAGTAGAGGTGTAATGAGAGACAAGAATGCATTTTTCGTCCGTATACTGTGGAACTGGAGGTTAATATAGGACACTTGAAAGAGTTAAAGTCGGACTTTTCTAATCGCTTTGAGAAGATTTGCAAGGGCCGTTAACTTGCCTGATTTGCAATGCAATTAATTACTTCTATTATGAGTCAGCCGTGGGTCTCACCGCTTAACGATAGGTCGTCCACTTGAGCGCGCTCAGGCAATAGTTTCAACGCCTCCTCAACGATGGTCGTCCTCTCTCGATTGTCCTGGCCCTGGTTGATCTTTGCTTTTGATTTATCTGCAACGGCCTTAAGAAGAATCGGGCTGTTGCTTATTTTCGTCAGGATATTGATCAATGCCAATGACTCTGCCGTTGAGTATCCGATGATGTTGTCCAAGCGGTCGGGGTTGAGAATTTTGGAGAATATCGACAATTGCAAGGGAGTAGGAGTGACAAAGACGACGTATTCGTCTTGAAAATATGTGAATAAAGGAAGTACTTGAGCAATCGTAAGCAAGCTTACATTTTGGTGGCAGGAAGCTTTTCAGGATGCTTGCATCACGTCGAAGAACGAAGCTGCGAGATATGGCGAGTAGCTGAAAGTTGGGCGTCAAATCTCATAGACGTACTCAGCAGGCGGAGCATTACTTGTGCCGAGCGACTTTCGCCTAGCTCTGCTTCCTTGGGCGAACATCCCGGTTCTCGGCTGCGGATTATAGGTGTCTCATACACACGTCGGAAGGTGGCATAGTCATCTGTGGGACAGTCAGTGGGATAATCAAATTGAAAAGTGGCGCGGACCTAGAAGTCCGGGGTTGCAAAAGTCCGCCTATACAACAATCGAAGTCAACGTCAAACAAGGGCTGCTCTGATATATTATGCTTTATACCATCGCATGAAACTCGCTGAGGTCATTCTGAATGGGTGTTCCAGAAAGAATGATCCTTCTTGGAGTTTTCAGTACCCCGAACATGGCTGATGTCTTGTTGTTGGCGGACTTGAGTCGGTGTCCTGCTCATTACTCAGCACAAGCTCGGTCAGCTCAGTCAATGAACCACGCGCCTTCATCGGCGATAATGAGCCCGATGGGTGGGCTAAACAGAATGCTATTAAATAAGAGGGACAATCAGATGATTGGCCGAGCTTACTTGCAGTAAACCAAATCATTGCTTGTAATGGGATGGGTAAGCGAATCAGGAAGATCAAGAGCGTCAAAGACTTACACGACGGTGCGCAGTCGTTCGTAACCAATCAGAAGGACTTGATGGATTTTTCTATGTAATCGACTCGAACAGATCGCAAGAGGGAGAATTGAATAAACTAACGAATTGGCAAACTGCCTGATTACCGTTTTTCCCTTATCCCCGGTAAGGACCCCGACGCGGTCACGTCCTAACCTGCTGGTGGACTCAGGACTGGTCGCGAGGATAGTGGATGCAAGCCATACCACTTGTGGAATTCACTCTTCCAGTTCTAAGTGAATGAATTAAGCTAAATTAGTAGTTTCCGTGTAACCATTATGACTTACATTTATGAGGGTGACAGGGCAGACGATAAGCACCTTCCCGACGACCGGAGCTGCACCTGCATATGGGGTTTGCTCTATCTTGGTAGTGAGTACTGAATTAGATAGGGGAGGGATGACGTACTTAGTAGAGTCCAAATAAGGGTAATCGTCTGGGACGTATCAATCGCGAACGTGGATTCCGATGAATTGCAGCGCTAACCTGAAGGGTTTTTCCCAGACCCCTTTTAATCCACAAACGCCGTCAGAGTGGGTAGGGCGCTATTAGAGTAGGAAGGTACAAACATTTCATCGGCAAGGATGCACCCTTGGCCCTCATGCCTTCGGAGTCCCATGACACAATCATACATAAACTTGACACCTGTAGTGGCATGAAATTTTATTCCGTCTCCCGGAGGGTAAGCGAGCTGACCTTCGAGCTGGTGAGGTCTCAATCGGCGGGCCAGAATAGGATCTATGACGACAGGAATAATGGGTAGAGACCTGAAGATTTCTGTGAGAAGGACACCAAAATGTGACAAGTTGAGCAGCAACTTCACTTCTTGTTGAAACGATTTGAATGTTCTTCAGTAGGCGCCTTCATCACAACCGCGCCTTCCGCCCCAGGATCATGCCTAGATCGCTCAACTAATGAAGTACATCTCATCGGCTTGAACTGGCGCTTACAGAGCACTAGCCGTTTTGGGCTTTGGGTTCGGCTTTGCATAGAAAGTTGCTGGAGGGATATACTTCATACTGGATGAGGGAGAGTTTTTGATATGCAAGTTGCCATGCTCTGGATGATTGGCACGAGGCCGGATATCGGTAGTGTCCTCCAATAACTGGATGTCGTTCTCGCTCTCTGCACCGAGCGCCATCCCTGTCGTTCGGGGGAAATCGGTCTGATGTATTGGAGAGTCCAGTTCTATCTCAAACCCCCCCACGAAGGTGTTCAGTCCAGAGATAAGGCGCGAGTTCTCAAAAGGTTTCTTCGCAAGACTAGAGTAGATATATTGATCTTAACCTGCAACAAACTGTGCGTTTGCTCACATTCTACCATGCTCGGAGACAAGCATCAGTGTTCCACCTTGCACAGTCACGTAGGCATCACCATCCCACGTCTTGTGTTTCTTGTGTTGTGGCTTTCTCCTGGTGAAAGAGGGCCATTAACTGTTAATATACATATATAGGGAAGGGAGGGCTACCAGTTTGCAGTCCAGTATGACTGGGCATCGTTGCTACCCGCGGACAAGGCCTTCGATGGCGGCGTTGTTGACTGGGATATTAGATTGACGGGTTCCAAGTCAATAACTTTTCTCAGGGAAACAGTAGCGGCGGGCGGCGGTGGGGGGTGCACGGAAGATGAGTTCAGCGCCACTGGCTTCAATGGAATGAATTGTCGCGAAAGAGAGGAGGAATTTGCTAAAGGGGGCAGCGGTGCATCACCAGTGGCACCATGGCCGAAGCAGGCCCCAGAAAGATATTCCGCGGGTTGCATCGCGCGGTCAATGTGAAGCTCCTTGTTGCCCACATTTATTTGGGAGCCCTCCTCTAATAAATCAGAACCAACGCCGCCAGTAGTAAGGCTATAATATCAATCTCAGTTGCTGCGCACCAAGTGAAAGGACATTCGACGCATACACGCGGCCTTCCAGGTCCATTAGAACGCCCTTCGGCTTGGTCACGACGAGAACACCATCCCCCTGCCATGTCTTATGTTTTTTTGACTGAGGGACCCTCCTTGGACATTGTTACGTTCTATTCTTGC